CCTCCTCCTCCTCCTCCTCCTCCTCCTCCTTCTTCTTCTTCTTCTTCTTCTTCTTCTTCTTCTTCTTCTTCTTCTTCTTCTTCTTCTTCTTCTTCAATTTTGATGCTGATCGTGTTCTTCTTCTTCTTCTTCTTCAATTTTGATGCTGATCGTCTTTGTATTGTTTCAATTGTACCAGATGCCTGTGGGATAGAAATTGCCGCATTCTCTGCTTTCCGTCAAGACGATCTTCGAATATAATGCATGTCCTAAAGGTCCACACGTGGTCATAAAGTCCATGTGTGCTTTAGAGTTCTGAAGGTCACATGGTCTAAAAGTCTGCAGGCTTTGCACTCTGGTCGTTGCAAAGAGGAGGGGCTGAGGGCGGGGAGGTGTTCCAAAGTTTCAAAGCCTGTAGTGCTAGGCTTCCAGAGTGGCCCGGGACCACTTGCCCGGCCAGGAAACACCCAAAAAAAAAAAGAAAACACTTTATTTTTTATTTCAAATTTGGTAAAGAATTTCGATGTGGCCCTGAGGCAAAAGTTGTGCCGTTTCTTTTTCTGCATAACATAGTTTTTTTAACTTTTTTTTTTTTTTTTTTTTTTTTTTTTTTTTTTTTTTTTTTTTTTTTTTTTTTTTTTTTTTTTTTTTTTTTTTTTTTTTGCTGGGACCTTCCTTGGCCCTTCCACGACCAGGCCGCCCGGGCAAATACAGTGAACCGGGCGGCCTGCCTGGTAGCCTAGCTGTAGTGTCCATACACCAAATTTTTCAACACTTGCGTGGTCCATAAATTGGGATCCTTTCTTCCTTTTTAGTAGTTTTTACCCCGAGAAATGTTTGGTCAAAATGTGATGTTGCAAATTCTAACGTACTGTTACAAAAAAAAAAAAAAAAAAAAAAAAAAAAACCGTACTGTTACACGCAGTCACTTCCGCCAGATTAGATCATTTGTATTTTACTATTTTTAGTATTTTGTGATTGTATGATGCATGCTATTGCTGTATTTGCATATAACAGTGTGTATGTATGCTGTCTCTTATACACATCTAGATGTGTATAAGAGACAGCCAACAGGGTCCGCGGACACTTCCAGTTCATCAGGTTCTAGACAGTCTACAAG